TGTATGTGGCTGGCGCCTTAGCCGCTTGAGCCACAGGCACCGAGCCAGAGCCCAAAAGTTTGAGGTTGCTATGAATTATGACACCACGGCACTCTACCCATGGTGACAGTGAGACCGTCTTAAAAAAAAAAAAAGTAACATCTGCCATAGGAAAGGGAGAAGAGAGAGATGGCACAGTACGAAGTTTTTGCTTGGGACAGAGAGGCAGAAGGGCTACCTTCCTCTCAGGAGTCAGAGAAGCCATACGGTCTGGCCACCCTCCTGCTTCTGTATGTCAAATCTATGACACCTACCCCTTCTGGCCTCACGGATTGGTGCGGGAGGGTATTGGTCTGTATCCAGGAGTCTGGGTTGCTCTAAAAGTTGACAGTTGAGCAGATGCCAATGCTTGTTGACAGTGACATACAATAGCTGCATGTCTACAGCATCTCTTGGCCCTTCCACACCCTCACATTCACTGTTCTCGTGCAGCCTGACATTAAGCATATACCTGGGGCCACTGCAGGCACTCCCTGAGATGTTGTGGGCTCCCCGGGCTTCATTTGGCAACTTTATACACTGGCAGCCAGCTGCACACTCACTTGGATATGATCTGCTATTTACAGAGGAATTTCAGAGACTCACAGATGTCACACTCTGATGCATGTGTCACACACACTCAGAAGTCACAAACTCAGAGTGATATACACTCAACAGTCATACACAGGCAGATTCACTCACGCTTGGGAATCACATATCAGGATGCCAGAACCTGGATTCAGTCACACTGAGATGCCACACACTCAGAAGCCATGTGCCCATTTGGACAAACACACATAGGCACTGTAGACACTGACCTAGAAACCATGCGCCCCCTCCCTGGGCCTCGCACAGCACACCTGCTAACTCCTCCAGCCAACTTCTTCTGATGCTCACCGGAGCAGCCTCATGCTCTCTTAGAGGCAGCCACTTGCTGAAATGTCACAGACATTTGTCACACACCACACATGGCAGTCCTTTATTGTTTACTTGGATGGTACCTTTGTTCATCCCACACCCTCACAGGGCCACCATGCCTACTCAATGCCTCCTGTCTTGCTGGACTAGAGGCTCTCTGCCCTCATGATGTTTGCTGTGTGCCAGCCCAGGACAGGGCCCCACTTCTCTGCCCAAACCAGGACAGGTGATGGCCAGCTAACAAACAGCAGTACAGTCAGTATCCCTTCTGACTAATCCATACTCTTGCCATACAGCTTGGACATATTTTAAATAAAGGTTAATGTATGTCAGTAAACATCTTGTTTGTGGACACACACAGATCTTAAGGTCCGTGGCTTGGGGTTGCTGTCACTGTCAGCCATCAAATGTCACATACCAACTTGGCTGTTGTGCCAGTCAGATGCCACATAAACATAGGCACAGTTAATTTTTTTTTTTTTGAGGCAGTCTTATTATGTCGCCCTTGGTAGAGTGCTATGGCATCACAGCTCACAGCAACTTCAAACTCTTGGGCTCAAGCGATTCTTTTGCCTCATTCTCCCAAGTAGCTGGGACTACAGGCACCTGCCACAATGCCTGGCTTTTTTTTTTTTTTTTTTTTTGGCAATTGTCATTGCTGGTTAGCTGGCCTAGGCCAGGTTCTAATCCGCCAACTTCAGTATATATGGCTAGCAGCATAACCACTGTGCTACGGGTGCTGAGCCAGGCACAGTTATTTTTGTGGCCATGGCCACTTAGTTACTGTAAGGTGGAACTGCACTATGGGAGGGACAGAATATAGGGCCACCTGAGGGCACAGAGGTAGGGTCCAGGCCTGGGCCTATTTCTAACCTCTGTCTTTCCCTTACTTCCCAGTACCTGAGATGGAGCCTTCTGGTACCAGTGACAGCGACAGCATCAATGCTTTGTGCACACAGATCAGCTCGTCTTTTGCGAGTGCTGGATCACCAGCACCAGCTCCACCATCTGCCACAACAGGTGAATCTATCCCTTCTGGGGACAGACACCCTTCAGTGCCCCTCCTGCATTCCCCTTCTCCATTCAGGGCTAATCCGGGGATTTCACAGGCTTAGAACCTTCATGGCATCACCTTAGAACCACAGATCATTTTAGAGCCATGAGATTATCTTACAACCACGGGGTCATCTTAGAACCCTGAGGTCATCTCATAGGCATGGGGTTATCCTAGAATCACGGGATCACCTCAGAGCCAAGAGACTTTTTTTTTTTTGAGACAGCTTACAATGTTGCCCTCAGTAGACTGCCATGGCATCACAGCTCACAGCAACCTCAAACTCGTGGGCTTAAGAGATTCTCTTGCCTCAGCCTCCCTAGTAGCTGGGACTACAGGCGCCTGCTACAATGCCCTGCTTTTTTTTTTATTGTAGTTGTCCTGGGCTGGATTCGAACCTGCTAGCTCCGGTGTACGTGGCTGGCGCCCTAGCCACTGAGCTGCAGGGGCCAAGCCAAGCCAAAAGATCATTTTAGAACCATTTAATCACTTTAGAATCCTGGGTCTTCTTAGAGCCATGGGCTTATCCTAGAACCACAGGGGTACCTCAGAGTATCAAACAGTATAACTGTAGAACTCTAGAATCTTAGAAGACACAAATAGGACTGATGAATTTTCTCATTGTATTAGAATAATGCACTGTGAGAAAAATCCATGCAATCTTAGAATCTGGCTTCCTAAAACAGAATATTCTGTAAATATTAGAATCAAGTGTGATATTCTAAATATTTAATTCTAGGCGTGGCACTGACCAGTCAGAAGAACAGTGGGACTGGGCAGATGTCGGTCCTACTTAGCCTTTTCCATCATAGAACCTTAGAGTCTCAGAATTACATGTTCTTAGCACTGAAGAGCCATTATGTCAGGGGTCCTCAAACTTTTTAAACAGGGGGCCAGTTCACTGTCCCTCAGACCATTGGAGGGCCAGACTGTGGGCCCCGGTATGAGTTGGCTGGTAAGCAGGACAGGCAGCGGCGGCAAAAACACCCAGCGGGTCAGAGAAATGTCCTAGGCTGGCTGCATGTGGCCCGTAGGCCGTAGTTTGAAGATGCCTGCATTATGTGGTCCGGAATGGTCAAATCACTTGCCCAAAGTCAACACAGCTAGTGAGGAGCAGAGCTGGGATTCAAAGGGAGGCAGTCTGGCCCCCATGTCTGTGCTGCAAGCCCCACGTCATCCTGATTACCAGCTTGGGCTGCTTCCATGGAAGCCCTTGCCACTCACTTACCCCTCTCTTCTCTCTAGGGACTTCTGCTTGGGGTGAGCCCACCGTGCCCCCTGCAACTGCCTTCCAGCCTGGACACAAGCGGACACCTTCAGAGGCTGAGCGATGGCTGGAAGAAGTATCCCAGGTGGCCAAGGCCCAGCAGCAGCAGCAGCAGCAGCAGCAACAGCAGCAGGCAGCCTCGGTGCCTGCAGTGCCCACCATGCCTCCTGCCCTGCAGCCTTTCCCCGCCCCTGTGGGGCCCTTCGACACAGCACCTGCCCAGGTGGCCATGTTCCTGCCGCCCCCACACATGCAGCCCCCTTTCGTGCCCGCCTACCCGGGCTTGGGCTACCCGCCCATGCCCCAGGTGCCTGTAGTAGGCATCACACCCTCACAGATGGTGGCCAATGCCTTCTGCTCAGCTGCCCAGCTCCAGCCCCAGCCTGCCACCCTTCTTGGAAAAGCTGGAGCCTTCCCACCCCCTGCTGCACCCAGTGCCCCTGGGGGCCAGGCCCGCCCACGCCCCAATGGGGCCCCCTGGCCTCCAGAGCCAGCGCCTGTCCCAGCTGAGTTGGACCCCTTTGAGGCCCAGTGGGCAGCATTAGAAGGCAAACCTGCTGTAGAGAAGCCTTCTAATCCCTTTTCTGGAGACCTGCAGAAGACCTTTGAGATTGAACTGTAGCCTGAGCTGCCCTGCCCACCCCATCATCTCCAGGTGCCCCCTGCCTGGGAGTAGAGGCACAACCTCTCCCCTAGTCCTGCTCCCTGAGGCTGTGCCTCTCCCCTCCTCGACACCCCTTCTCTCAGCTACCCCCAACACTACAGAACCAACATTGTGACACCCTGGTCGTGACAGGACAGAATTCCAGGACTGACCCAGCCTGGCTAAGGGAGCCATTTCACTGCCAGACATAGGCTGGCAACACCCCTTTCCCTACCCCAGACACAGGGGAGGGCCACAGTCCCACCGAATGCCCTCAGTTCGTGCCACATCCCCCAGTTTCTGTTCTTGACCTCCCACCTTCCAGTGTTGGGCAGAATGGAGGAGGGATGGCTGCTTAGGGGCTTTGCAGGGCCCCACACGAGTGCCCACCCCAAATCTGATCATCTCCTTCCCCCATACACAGCACAAGCTAAGGGCTTCCCTCTGCCCACCTGCTGCGTTCACTGCCAATGCTGTGCTCATCCCTGTTGCCTCCCCCACTCTGGGACCCAGGTCTCATTGGGGCAGGGGCCGAGTTGGGGGCCTGGGAGGCAGGGGAGGGGAAGAAGATGCTCAGTTACCTCATGTCGGTGCCCTCTGGGAAGGGGTCCGGAAAGAAGGGGAAGGGGTGCCTGGTGGGTACTTTTCTATCTTTTATTTCCAGATTTTTTTTGTATCTAAACTCGCAGATTTGTATTATACAAGGACAGCCAATAAAGGAAGAATATAATGGTGCCCCGTGGGAGCAGAGGGTGTGTGTAGGGATGGTTTATGGCCACAGAGCTTTTCCTCCTGAGTCATTTACTAAAACCAGAGGGAGTACAGGGTTTCCCTGAGTCATAACAGGGTCACAGGTATCGCTGACTCAGCGCCTGCCAGTTGGGCATTAAAAGGAGCCAAAATCAATCACCCCATTTCTGTTCCTGACAAATTTTGAACCTAGGAATTAAAAAAAATTATAAACTAATGCTAACACTTCAATATTAATATTTTAGGTAATCAGGTTGGTAATAGTACATCTTTAACCATGCTGACAAATTCTTGTTTTTTTAGTTGCATTTTCCATAACTCAGGCTAATGTGTCACCTGACAGGCAGTGTGTTGTTTAGCCGTCTATTTTTCTTTTTTTGAGACAGAGTCTCACTGTGTCACCCTCAGTAGAGTGCTGTGGCATCACAGCTCACAGCAACCTTAAACTCTTGGGCTTAAGCAATTGTCTCGCCTCAGCCTCCCAAGTAGCTGGGACTATAGGCCCACACCACAATGCCTGGCTATTTTTTTGTTGCAGTCATTTAGCTGGCCTGGGCCAGGTTCAAACCCACCACCCTTGGTATATGTGGCTGTAAGCACTGTGTTACAGGCGCCCAGCTGTTTAGCATTCTATTTGATGGCTCCCTGGATCATATAAATTTTATAGAGTTTTGGGTTTTTTTTTTGAGACAGAGCCTCAAGCTGTCCCCCTGGGTAGAGTGCTGTGGCATCACAGCTCACAGCAACCTCCAACTCCTGGGCTCAAGCGA